GAAGAAAGTGATCTGGGAAACTACAGGCCTGCAAGTAATTTGTTCCAAGACCTCAGCTGTATGGAAGGTCTTGAAGCAAATTTTGAAAGAGAATGTAGTTAAGGATATAGAGATAAACGGGAATTTGGATGAAATACAACATAGTTTTACAATAGGTAGTGTGTCCAACTCTACAATAGATGAACGTGATCTGCTTCTTTGAGAAGATAGCTGATTTTTTTAGACAAAGGAAATGCAGTAGATCTCATGGACCTGGATTTCAGTAAGGCATTTGATACAGTTCCACATGGCAAATTTAGTTAAATTGGAGAAGATGGGGATTAATATGAGAATTGAAAGGTGGGTAAGGGACTGGATAAAGGGGAGACTACAGTGCGTCATGCTGAAAGGAGTTTAAGAAAGATTAATTCAAACTGGAACAGGTGCAGAGAAGGGCTATTAGGATGATCTGATAAATGGAAAACCTACCTTATGAAAGGAGACATTAAGAGCTTGGCTTGTTTAGCCTAACCAAAAGAAGGCTGAAGGGAGATATGATTGCTCTCTATAAATACATCAGAGGGATAAATACCAGAGCGGGAGAGGAGTTATTTAAGTTGGGTGCCAAAGTGGACAGAAGAACAAATGGATATAAACTGGCTATCAACAAGTTTAGGCTTGAAATAGACAAAGGTTTCTAACCATCAGAGGAGTGAAGTTCTGGAACAGCCTTCCAAGGGGAGCAGTGGGGCAAAAAAACCTAACCGGCTTCAAGACCTATAGTTAAAGTTACCTACTTTTTCCAGTATAGACCTTGTTTTCAGTTGCTTATATGTTTGCCAAACTTAAACCATTGAGGATGAATTTTTCCATGCTGGATGTTTGCCTCAGGTGGATTTTTAAAAAAATAATCAGTAAAAAAGGCTCTGCCATTGCTCAGAGTGAGGTTAGGGGAAAATATGTTGTTTTTCACTGTTAAGGCGCTTTCCCCACTCCGAACTCTAGGGTACAGATGTGGGGACTTGCATGAAAGACCCCCCTAAGCTTATTCTTACCAACTCAGATTAAAAACTTCCCCAAGGTACAAACTTTGCCTTGTCCTTGAACCGTATGCTGCCACCACCAAGCATTTTAAACAAAGAACAGGGAAAGAGGCCACTTGGAGACGTCTTCCCCCAAAATATCCCCCCAAGCCCTATACCCACTTTCCTGGGGAAGGCTTGATAAGAATCCTCACCAATTGGTACAGGTGAACACAGACCCAAACCCCTGGATCTTAAGAACAGTGAAAAATCAATCAGGTTTGTTAGGGGGCTTATTCCTTCACCCACTTACTTCCCTGGTCCTTCTCGTATGAATAGAGAGCAACAATACCCGAAGTCCAAAGGTGCAAACAATTCGATGTTTATTGGGGTGAACTTCCAGCAAGCATGATTCCAGTTTCCTTCCTTAGTATCCTCCTTCCCAGCTCTGACACCACAGAGCCTTACACCTGTGTCCCTGTTCCCATTCCTACCCTTAGCCAAACATGATTCCAACTTCCTTACTCCCATTCCCTGTTCCCATTTCCCCCTTTAGCAAAACATGATTCCAATTTTCTTACCCCCATTCCCTGTTTCCCATATCCCCCTCCCACCCACACCCACTCACTTCCTCATTGACTACAGATTATATAGTAAAACTTGAGTTCTGCTTAGCTATACCTTAACCAATCATTTTCCTAAAATTTAACTAACCAATCCTAACATATTGTAACATGATTATGTAACCAATTATATCTCACCACCTTAATTAGTTTACACCCAGCAAAATTAATTATACAGCAGACAGGAACAATCACAGAACCAGACAGAGATTATACAGACAAACAATAGCAAAGTGGGAACTATAATGACAAAACAATACAGAAGTGAGGATTTCACATCCCAGCTATTGATAAGTGAGTTCTTGCCAGACAGGATGCTATCAAACTAAGTTTCCTTTTACATTTTCTAGGCACTTCCCTTTCTCTGGAGGTGATAGGAATACAATCCTGTCCTGATAATGCCTGACAGCCCAATAGCACCTTCTTTCAGTGTGACTAGTTTGGAATGTGAGGATGTGACTGTTCGCTTCCTAGCTTATGGCTGCCTCTGCTGCTTAGCCAAAGGCCTTAGCCTAAGAACAGGGCCTCAGACTGTCACAGTAAGAGAAGGCCCTTACACCAGCAGACAGTGATTTTGATTCTTTCTTTTATACCTCTAGAACTAGCCAAGTGATAAGAATACACCTAAATTCTTAAAGTACAGGCCTTTGCAGACAGGCCTGAATATCTATATCCTAACAAGGTTCTTAAAAGAAGAATTTTAATTAAAGAAAAGGTAAAAGAATCACCTCTGTAAAATCAGGATGGTAAATGCCTTACAGGATAATCAGATTCACAACATAGAGAATCCCGCTAGGCAAAACCTTAAGTTACAAAAAGACACAAAAACAGGAGTATACATTCCATTCAGCACAGCTATTTTACCAGCCATTCAACAAAAGAAAATCTAACGCATTTCTAGCTAGATTGCTTACTAACTTAAGGAGATATGAAGAGCATTCCTGATCTGTTCCCGGCAAAAGCATCCCACAGAAAGACAGACCCTTTGTTCCCCCCCCCAGCTTTGAAAGTATCTTGTCTTCTCATTGGTCATTTTGGGTCAGGTGCCAACGAGGTTTTCTGAGCTTCTTAACCCTTCACAGGTGAAAGGGTTTTGCCTCTGGCCAGGAGGGATTTTATAGTACTGTATACAGAAAGGTGGTTACCCTTCCCTTTATATTTACGACAACATAAAGAAGAGTGCTCAAACTGGCTGGTATTCTTACAAAGCACATGAGGAAAGAGCTCTGAATCTGTTTACCTCCTCCCACAGCCATTTCAAACTGCATAAGTAAATCATTGTTGTACAGTCAGTATAGTCAGCAGATATTTGAGGAGCAAAGTAAAAACATTTCTAGCTGAGGATGCTTCAATTTGCTGAGTACTCTTGTCTTCCCACTGAGTTATGTGAGAATATTTTTTGTTTAAATGTGAAATAGATCCAAGAGTCATGTGTGAAGATATTTTGTGAGGAAGGATGGTCCAGTGGTTAGGACACTAGTCTATAATCTGGGAGGCATAGGTTCAATTTTCTGCTCTGCCACAGATTTCCAGTGTGACCTTGGGCAAGTCATTTACCTTCTCTGTGCCTCAGTTCTCCATCAGTAAAACGGGGATAATAGCACTCCCCCCAGCTCACTGTGGTAGTGTGAAGATTAATATATTAAATAATGTGAAGTGCTCTGGAGTCTGTTCATGAAAAATGTTATATAAGACCATGGCATAATTATTATCATCATTTGTTATCATGGGCGGCAGGTATAATAGACCAGAGAAGGCTCTGCCTTTCCTGGCTGCAGCTGCTGCTGTGGGATGCTGGGCTGGGGCGTCTGTGGCAGAGCAGACTGGGGCTGCTTGGGTTGGTCGGCCGGCTTGAGCCGCCCCGGGGCTCCTGTGGTGGGGGTAGGTGGCTCGGGGTTCTGGCAGCCAGGGGCTTCTCTCTTCTTTTTAAGAGACTGATGATAGTAAGTACATTTCTTAACATAAAACATCAATACCAGAATCAGAAACTGCACAAGATTCTGTAATAGAATTTTCATCCATGGAAAATCAGTTTGTAAAAACTTACAAATTAAGAAAGATTTATCTTGAAGACAGTTTTTAAATATTTTCAGTCTCTTAATACTCAAATTGGCTAAACAGGGGAGACTGAGCACTTCACCAGCATACAGACGTGTTGCAAAATGATACCTGCAGTGTGTAAATGCAGTTAAACAGCACAGCGTTTTTTACATCCAAACAAAATAGCAGCAGAATCTTTAAGAAATAACGTAGAATAGGGAAAATTACACTTGTGTAGGAGACACAATTTATCTTTAAGAAACAGAAAACACTAAGCCACTCCAGAGGAGGAGGTCAATTTTTATTAGTAGTTTTTGAGGTCAGAAAGCACCATTATGACTATCTAGGCTGACTTTCTGCATCAATCCTGTAATTTTCTGGTTGAGCTAGAGTGTTCCTTAGAAAGGCATCCATTCTTGATTTTAAAGAGTTCAAGTGACTGAGTTGCTCCAGTGGTCTGTTATTCTCATTGTTAAAAATTGCGCCTTGTTTCTAGTCTGAATTTGTCTGGCCTCAGCCTCCGGTTTTTGGATCTTATTATGCCCTTTTCTACTAGATTTAAGGAGTCCTTAACTATCACAAATATTCTCCCCATATAGGTTCCTATAGACTGTGATCAAGTTACCTGTTAAGCTGCTCTTGGATAAACTAAAATATTTATCTGTGTTTTAGATAACACTGCTTTCTTATAAATCCATTGAAACCTACTCTTCGGTTTACCCTCCGTTTAGACATTCTTTTCGAAACTTGGTCATTTAATACATCACACCTGCCCTGTCTCTACAGGGGCTCCCTACTTTAAATATTTTATTACTTTCTTGTATGTTGTCATTGATGTAGGTAATGCTGAATAGAATTTAGAGATACAATAATTGCCTTGGATAGGAGATCGGGCTTGTGTGTGTGTGTGTAATATATAAAGTGTAAATGTAGACTATAGTCAGTTATTCTGTTCTATGATAGCTTTATACAACTTCTGTGTAATGTAATTCATATAGTTCAAAATGTTGCATTTCCTATTATTTAAACTCGCATGAAATCTATGCTTTGTAAATAGTAACACTTGTATATTTTTAGAATTGCTTCCTAGCAATACAGTTGAGAGTTGATTGGGATGAATTCATACATTCATTGTAACCCACTGGGATGAAGTGATTCTCAACAATACAGAAATTTAAAACTGCGATTCACCATTGACAACAGGGTAAACAAAACCACGGATCTATTCCAGGAAACTTTCCACTTTAATTGCTCATAGTAATTGAATGCCTTCAGAAGCTTTTTGAATGTATAGCAACAAGGATTCTTATTTAAAGTGGTGTGTTTTTCTTTACAGCAATGCTGAGTGATGAAGATAATTGTGTGAAGTTGAAAAGTGATCAACCAAAGCTGGTCACACATGAAGATGAAAAGACCAAGCTGGTTTTTAAAAGGTACTCTCAAGTAAGTGTGTCTCTGTCATGATAAATTAGATTTAAATTGCTGTTTAATCAAACATGCTGCAGGGTGTAAGCACTGAAGATACCTCAGTGATATGTGGTATAAAAGCCTAGGGAATGGGATCATCACATCTGCCAAAGGGAGTTAAGCACCCAATCACATTGAGATCCAATGGAAGTTGGGTGCCTGTGTCATTTTTTTCAAGATGCCATCCTCTGTCTCTCTTTGTATATATAATATACACAGCCCATTTCCCCACCTCCCAATAAGAATTTAGCAGCAAGCCCTGGAATATCAGTTTTATTTTGTGTCCAATAAATCATCTTGCCAAGACGCTTCCATAGTGTGGTACTTGATGAAAATAGAGTACAGTGGAAATGCATTGTAGATCACTGAATTTTCCCATTGTTCATTTACTTGCTAAACACAATTGTTTTAAAAAATGTTGCACCAAAAATGTTTGTCCCTTGTAGTTAGTTCTAATTTGATAATACTTCATAGCTAGTAGTATATTAGTATAAATGCTAAATTATATAAAAAATAAAGATATATATTTGTATTAAGGCACATCATCACAGTGTGAGCCATTAAATCTTTGTGAAGTGTGGAGAATCTGCCAGTGTTTTTATCGCTTACTAGCGTGTGGATTAGCAAACTTCGCTTTTCACATAGAACTTATTAAAATAGCTGTCTGGCTGGCATATACTGAATAGGTTTATGTCAAAGACAGTCAAATGGGAGCTGCTGGGTGCTCAGCACTTCTAACAATCTAGGTATTATTTAGGATGCCTAATATAGACTTCAGAGCTTAACTTTAGTCACTCATTTGTGAAAATCTTGGCTTTACTGTATATTTACTTCTGACATGCAGAAACCAAATATACAGTCATTAATTTATTAAAAATTATCTACGCTACTGTAAGTGACTGACAACTAATATTTATTTATTGTGTATAAAAATCCATAAATTGTAATGGTTGGCTTTTGTTCCATAGGAATAAATGAACAACTAAACCTCAAAAATCAATAACCAGATTTCCTAATAACAAGAAATTATTCAAATTAACTAACAAGAACGATATGCATTTGTAACGGTCAATTTAAAAATATTTTTATTCTTTATCGTATAAGTGTTTCTAAGATATCAATGACCAAATAGCATTTTTTGGTTTTGTGTTTTAACATGACAAAACAGGCTATTGACATTGTAACATTACTGTTATACAATAGTCTTTGTCAGAAAGTACTTAATTAACATTATTTATTCTGTTCTGGGTAAAAATATATAAAAAATCATGAGTTCTTAGGAAAATGCACTTTTTATAGCTGAGTATTGGCAAGGACTCCATCAGTCTAAAACACCTTGGCTGTGCCTTCTCAGAAGCAATAGCAGGTGAATTGAAACTTTTTTGCAGCAATAATGATATAAAATCAATTTTTTGTCTCCGTAGAACTTCTGTGGTGGGTTGTAAAATTCTGTGCAATTTTTGATTGACCTACATATGTCTAATTATAAAAAAAACCAAAAACCTCACGCAACACACTGCGTGTGCATATAAGCAAAACTGACTAAATGTGTGACCTTGTTACTGTAGCCTTTGTTTTTCTCATCCCTTCTTCTCTATTGTGTATTACTCTATCTTGGCAGAATCTTGATTGTAAGCACTTTAATGAAGGGACATTGCTTGCTGCTTTGTATTTTTGTGTATTTTTTTTTTAATTGTAAAGCATCTGGCACACTCCAGGATTCTGTAGCTTTAAAATAAAAGACAAATGCAACACATACACTTATGGTACATTTGAATAAGCTGAGTTTCCAAAAAAAAGGATGCTGTTAAGTAGTGTAAAAGTGCTGGATGTTGCATTCACCTTGGAGGCTTAGTCCTCCATTAGCTGCATTTCATGTGAACTAACGCTTAAGTCAAGGTTGTTCTTTGAGTAATGGTCCCTATCTGGATTCCAGACGCAGGTGCACATGCGTGCAATGTGCTGGTGCCGGAACTGATCAGAGTAGTGTCCATTGACCCACACGTGCTTTGTGTGTCAACTGTGTGGTATGTCTGAGGCGGTAAGAGGCTGTGCGGGTTGACGCCACTACAGTTCCCTCTTACTGCCGCGTGGCCAGAGTTGGAACCCCTGCCAAGAGAACTGCTCTTCGTTTCTGCTGTATATGGTGGTTGTCCGTGAGTTTTCAGTAGTTAGTTAATTTTCCTTGGACTTCTCCCCTTCAGGGGTTTCTTTCTCCCTGGCCTGGGGACTATGCCCCAACAAACTGGCTTCAAGAACTGTGACTTGTGCCGTCGCTACTTTTTCAGTGAGAGGCGAGCACATTCGTTGCCTTTACTGCCTTGTACTGTTTCTCATTGCCCGGACTCGAGCAGCTTGTGAACCTTACCTCCGCAAATATCTGATGGAGGAGCAATGCACCCACGTGCTCCACCAGATCTGCTGGAACAGTGCTCGACACCGGTGGTGAGCGCTTCACTGGGCCCCTCCCGTGCAGCACTGCCTCACCTGCCGAAACCCCACTGCGTGCACAAGAAGCATGAGCATAAGAGCGGTTACCCGATGGGGACAGCTTCTAAATACAGTATTACCTCCCCGAGCCGTGCTAGGTCAGGCAAGAAGTCGTGTGCAGCTGTGGATGCTCCTGCTCCAAAAGCCGTCGTACGCCACTGGCACTGTCTTCTGCTTCGGCACCTGGGCCACCTCCTTCGCCCTCGGCGCGGTCGACACCGCCAGGACCTTCTGGCCTGTCCCACCCAGTCCTGCGCACTCTGGCATGCTTATCACCCCTGATGCCGTCAGATGAGCTCATGCTGCCTTTCGTTGGCTCTCCGCCGCGCTCTGGACCCCTGCCTGTTCCGAGACTCCTCTCTCCAGCGGACGAGCCCCTCCTGCTCCAACCCGAGCCCTTTCCACCTCACGGCCTGGTATTTGGATGGGGCTCGCATTTAGACCAGGCTTGTTCTGACCCCATCTAAGACATCCTCACTGAAATGGCTAAGTGGCACCGCTTCAGCTCATGGGCACGCTGCCATCACATCTTTCCAGGCTCTGTCTCCATTCCTGTTCTTCTGGACTACCTCTGTCATCTCTGCCAGTCAGGCCTCGCTCACTTCTCTGTCTGCATCCACCTGGAGGCACTCAGTGCCTTTCTTCCTCCTGTGGATGGCTTCTCCGTTTTCACCAATCCGATAACCTCCCGCTTCCTCTGCAGCCTTCTCAATGCTTTTCCCCTAGTACGAAGGCCTATCCCCTCTTGGGTTCAGAATCTGGTTCTCTCTGTCCTCATCAAGCCACCCTTTGAACCCCTCATCACTTGCTCTTTCTCCCATCTTTCCATGAAGGTGATCTTCTTAGTGGCTATCACCTCCGCATGATGCGTCAGCAAACTGGCCGCCATGATGGCGGATCTGCCATTTACCATCTTCCACAAAGACAGGGTCTCCTTACGTCTTTACCCTGAGTTCCTGCCCACGGTGACTTTCTCCTTCCACCTCAACCAGAGTACACACCTTCTGGTCTTCTACCCTAAGCCATACGCCTCCCCCATGGAGTGCATATTCCACTCCCTTGATATCTGCCGAGCATTAGCCTTTTATCTCTACCACACCCGTGACTTCCGAGTGGCCCATTGACTCCTCATCGCCATCACAGAGTGCTGTCGGAGTTGCACCCTTTCTTCCCAATGCCTCTCCAAATGGATCTCCCGTTGCTTCATAACCACTCCACATGGGCGTGTGCAACCCTGTTGGCTTTCCTTGCGGATGTTCCGTGGCAATAGATATGTCAGGCAGCTCCTTGGTCCTCTGTCCACACCTTTTCCTCTCACTATGCCATGATGATGGATGCAGCAGCTGGTCATGCTGTCCTGCAGACTTGGTCTTCTCGAGAGCCCTCATGCCTGCTTCCCTACTGACCGCTGCTCGCTACTCTCCTGCGTTTGGAATCCTGACATAGGGACCATCACTCGAAGAAGAAAAGGTTATTTACTGTAACTGGAGGTTCTTCAAGAGGTGTGGTCCCTATCTGGATTCCACTCCCGCCCTTCTTCTCCTATGCTCTGGCCTGTCCCACCCTATGATAGCATATCACCCCTGATGCCGTCAGATGAGCTCATGCTGCCTTTCGTTGGCTCTCCGCCGCGCTCTGGACCCCTGCCTGTTCCGAGACTCCTCTCTCCAGCGGACGAGCCCCTCCTGCTCCAACCCGAGCCCTTTCCACCTCACGGCCTGGTATTTGGATGGGGCTCGCATTTAGACCAGGCTTGTTCTGACCCCATCTAAGACATCCTCATCCTATGCTCCGGGCTCCCTTTGCTTCCTGGTCCGAGGGAACTGGAGGGGTGTCAGCCTCTTAAACCCTTGGATGCGCCACATGGTTGAGGCATGTGCAGGTCAACAGAGACTACTATGAACAGTTCTGGCTCCAGTGCATGGCGTGCATGCACACCTGTGTTTGGAATCCAGGTAGGGACCACACATCTTGAAGAACCTCCAGTTACAGTAAGTAACCTTCTCTCATTCTTTAATCCCATGCTTTGTGAGGTTAGAGGCTGGACAATCACATGCTATCATATGTTCGCAGCACAAAAGACATCTGTTCTTTATAGTTTATTTTAATCCCTTTCGGAACAAGGGAATAAATATTAATAAACATTATCTATTAACATTCTTAGGGAGTAGCCCCCATTAGGGGAACTAGCACTGGGGACAGGGGGGAGCATAAAGTCATAACTGTTTAATAGTAACAATTTATAATTACTCTCTCCGACGTCCCAAATTAAAGGTACAGCTTTGGCTTGTGTCATAGAATCGTAGAATCACAGAATATCAGGGTTGGAAGGGACCTCAGGAGGTCATCTAGTCCAACCCCCTGCTCAAAGCAGGACCAATCCCCAATTAAATCATCCCAGCCAGTGTCTGTGGGGAAGGGATGGTAGTGGAACAAGAGGACAGAAACTATTGTTTAAAATACTTTCAAATAAATATTTAAAGTGTACTATAGCTAGGGCCCTACCAAATTCATGGCCATGAAAAATGCATCCGAGACTGTGAAATCTGGTCTTTAGTGTGCTTTTACCTTGTACTATAGGGATTTCACAGGGAAGATCAGCATTTCTCAAATTGAGGGGCCTGACCCACAAGGGAGTTGCAGGGAGTGTCAAGGTTATTTTAGGGGGGTCACCAAAAATATTGCCACCCTTACTTCTGCACTGTCTTCAGTTCTGGGCAGCAGGAGAGCGGTGGCTGTTAGCCAGGCAGCCGGCTCTGAAGGTTGCGCCCTGCCAGCAGCAGCACAGAAGTAAGGGTACCATACCATGCCATCCTTTATTCGGCGCTGCTCTGGCGGTGGCTCTGCCTTTAGAGCTGGGCGCCCAGCCAGCAGCTGCTGCTCTCCCGCTGCCCAGCTCTGAAGCAGTGCCGCTGCCAGCAGCAGCACAGAAGTAAGGGTAGCAGGACCGCAACCCCCCCTACAATAAACCTTGCAAGCCCCCCACAACTCCTTTATGGGTCAGGACCCCTAAAATTACAACCCTGTGAAATTTCAGATTTTAATAGCTGAAATCATGAAATTGACGATTTTTTTAAATCTTGTGACTGAATTTGGTAGGGCCCTAACTATAACGCTCCATCTAAGGTAACAGCGCTCAGCTGACTGGTAGTTCTTATTACTTCTGTTGTTCAGATAGCAGTTCCCAGTAATAATACTCAACATTCACATAGCCCATTACCACTGAGGAAAACCTGGATTAGAATGATTCTAGGAATGCTGGCTTTTTAATATAGGGCGGAAAGTTGGGTGTCTGGGTGTCTTTTTAAATTTATAAATCCTGCATTCTGGCCTTCCAAGTAACCTAAAATAGATCTGGTGGCCCCTAGGTGGTGGTTTGAACACCCAGGTGTGGGATTTTAGCCTCTGAAGTTTTCAGATTGGGTTTTCAGCACCAAAAACATTTTAAGTATTTTTGACACTGAAAACCCAGTTTGCAACTGCACTCTTTACATGAGTAGTGTTTGTTTTGGCCATTTTTAAGAATGAAGCAAAACTATTCTTTTTAAAGAAAACAAAAAGTACTTTAGTGTTGTCCCAAAATTTACAGAGAGCAGCCTGTTGATACAGTCCAATTTGATGCAGGACACATCAAGGTCATTTAGTTTAAAGTAACCGCTACCAGTGCAGAACCACGCTACAAAGCCAAAGCATCCTTGAGCACCAGTCTCCATATTACAGTATTTATCCAAGTTAGTGCAAAAAGCTTTGAAGGGGCGAGGAAGAATGTGGCTTACAGCATTAGGACTGTGAGTGTCTCAGTATGGGTTGCATTTAAGCATGCTTTTTTACAGTTTTTTTTTTATTTTTTTTAACTTGCTCACATTTTATCAGCTTCACAAAGGAGTAGTTCGGAAATAACTGCACTGTTGGCGGTGGCCCACTGCTCTAAAAGTAATCACTGGCTCTTGTTCGTTTTAGACCTGTTATACTGCTTGCAGTCGTGGTGTACTTCCTTTATATCCTCAAGTTACGTTTTGGCCCTGAAGAATGTGACATGAAGAAAATGCACTATGTGGACCCTGAACGTGTAAAGGTTTGCTAGCCTTTATCTGTATCTAGCAAATGTTACTGGTGTATTGTGTAGAGTTGGAAAGTTCACCGCAGGACCTGAAACGATGGAGTTGTAGGCTGAAGTCCTGCAATGCAGGCAGATGAATTTACTTTTCTATATGCTCCATTACCTGGACTGAGAGGCTGTTTTCAATTCTTATGCTTATGTAGGCAGTGAGACTTACACAGAGAAAATTATAGAGTTTTAGGAATAGAATTAATGAGGAAGAAAACAATGGTTTATGAAAGAGTAATGTTTGCCATCACAGATATGATACATAGTTTGAAAAAGTTTATGGAAGGTTGCAAGAAAAGAAAAGGACTTAGATATGTATATAGAATTCTATGGCCTGATTATCTTGCCAGTTGCATGCACAGAATGCCTTTGGCCTTGCTGCAAGTTGCAGAATGGATGGGATGATTAGTCAGACTTAAAAACCAGCTTCTGTAGTGCCACACTGGAGAGTGTGAAGGCTTGGGAGTTGTTCTAAAAACTGAAACATTATGCTTGCTATTACACTGTAACACAAAGGTGCTGACTCTCACCCTGCATTGGGAAGAAGGAAGAATTTGGTATTCTGAACATCTGATTAGAAGTCTAAAACACCCTGAGCCTGCTTAAAATTTTTTGGTACCTGTAGGGTCTGTTCTGCACATCTGTGGAGTTCTTCTAATTGCAATTTTAAAAAACCTCCCCTTTTTCCATTTTTCTTTGTTCCCCTTTTTCTATAATCTTAACATCAGGCTTGCATTTTTGACTCTCCCACATATATCACACAAACATCTCTTTGTTTTCTACTTGCCTCTGTTCCTCCCCCCTCTCCATTTTGTTCTTGTTTTTATGATAAATCTTCTCATTTGTTGAGCAGTGATAAAATGGCATCTTTGCCTTTGAACTGTATTAAAGCTTCCCCCTCGTACCAGACCCCAATTTGCAGGTTCTACTCTCTAAAAATGTGCAGGAGGATCTTGTTTCAAAGAGACAGATTATCATTTATTTGGCAGGGGAAGATTCAGCTGAAAGCTGGTACTGTAGGTTTTTATATTGGTACTTCATCTTCATTTTAAGGAGAACTTTAGACCCTTCACTTTCAGGTGAACATTTTAAGCGTGGTTATAGTGGGATTTTTTAAGTGACCATAAACATCTAGATTAAAATCAGTTCACAAGTCAAAATGCTGCAAGTCCTGTCTTGGATGTGACGGAGTTTTTCTTTCCAGCTTACATGTCTCTGGTAGTACAGCTTCTGCAATCAAAATTTAGCTGAAAAATTTGTTACTGATGGATAAGGCAGAGCAAAAACCATCTTCCTTTCCCATAGCTCTATTGGCCATGAACAAAAATAACCAGTCATTGCTTGAAAACGTTCAGGAAGCAGACAAGCTTTGTAAAAAGGTACCATTTTACATAGTAATTTTTCTGACTGCACCTGCACTCTAACTTACTCCTAAAGAAATCTTCCACCTGAAAGAGGTAAGTTATACTCTGAAACCTGCACTCTTGATAACCCCACAAACAGGAAGCTCCTTGTTTTAACTGACTAGTTTTAAATTTTCCACAGTTGGTGGTTCAGTTTGGTTTGTCTTTCTAAAACCTACATCTGCTAATTTACGGATGTCTATTGACCTCGTGGGAGGTTGCTTCAGACAGGAGATGCTATATTTATAATACTGAAATGTACTAGCTTGTATGACTTAAATTTTATATACCGTTTTGTTTCAGAGAGCACAAAAATATGCCAAACTCATACAGCAAGGAGAATGTCGACCTTCTTTTGTGAAGAAGGAGATGGACAGATTATTTGCTGAGAAGTACAGCGTGAACATATTTCCCTTTGTAAGAGAAGATATAAACAGACATGAAGCTGTGTTTAAGTACAACCCCCCGTTTGGATTTCACAAGAACTCTGATAAACTTCAGAACCTCTTAAAACTCTTACCTGAGTATGACTTGCCCGAGAACTTGAAGTCAAAACACTGTAAGCGTTGTGTTGTTGTAGGAAGTGGTGGAATACTTCGTGGATTGGAGCTAGGCCATGTGCTGAATGAGTTTGATATTGTTATAAGGTGCATATTTCTCTTCTGTCTAAAGTTACAAAGTAATTTAACATTTGTGTTGTTTTCAAACAGCCTCTCTTTTTGAGAGGGGAAAGGGGAGTCTCAGACTCCATTTATTACTTAGTTTATGAAACTGAAAGTATTTTATTAATATTACTTGTCTTTACAATATTCAAAATATGGTGAATCAGATAAACTTACTCAAATTCAGACTGCAGGGACCAGGAATATATCATTATTTCAGTGTGCTCCAGACCAGTGGTTTTCAACCTTTTTTGGACCAGGTCCCATTTGTAAACATTGATGGCCAGTCTCAATCCAGTAAATAGAAAGTAGAAAATGCACGTATTTTGGCCCCCAAATACTTATTACCCACTGTATGTAACAACAACACCAATAATAACAATAACAGTAATAAAAAGTTAAAGCAGCTCAATATCCAGAAAGTTAAAGGCAGAAATCAACATTAACAGGAACACATTAACAGTATAATAAATTCTAGGTTCCACTTAATGAGAAACTTGAGCTTGCTTCTCTTTGACAAGTTTATCAAAGTTTGGTGTAATTTTAGTCAGCACAATCTGAAGGTTGTGTTCAACATCCAGTCTATTCCTGCTTTTATTCTTCAGTTGAGTCAAGGCAGAGAATCCAGCTTTGCACAAGTATGTTGTACTGAAAGGCAAAAGGACTGGCAAGCAGGACATTCTCCAACAGCAGCACTGCACCAAAACTGGGGAATGCTCATTTCAGTATATTTTCTCTATAGATTGCGAATGCAAGATAACTTGACCAGCTGAGATTCTTCCTTCTTAGGTAGATTCATGTTTTCCAACACAACTCCAAACGGATCCTGTATCCATTCTTTGCCCTTAGGTTGTTTGGAAAGTAATTGCAGAATCTTGTGTGCAATTTAGTTAAATTACTACTGATCGTTTTCTTCAGTACTTCCTGGCTAGTGGAATCTTTCAAATTTTTTGTTTCTGAATATGCGTTACGAAACATGTCCATCCTATCATTTGAAATATGTTTGTTCACAGAGAGGGTTTTTTTTAAACTCAGTAATTTTGTCAGTTAGCTGCAAGCGATTGTGCTCTCTGCCCTGTAAAGACAGATTCAAATAATTCAGATGATCAAATATATGTGCCAGATATGCAGCACAAACAAACCATGTGTTGCTACTGAAGCGTTCTGCCAGGTGAGACTTTTTTTCTTCAAGAAAAGCTGCCAACTCATTTTTAAATTTGAGACACTTTGCCATGGGACAGCCAGCAAACTTCAGCATGGTAAAGCAGATGTACGTGAGTACTGCCCATTTTCTGACAGAAAACTTGAAAGCATCATGACTTCTTGGTATTTTGTTTGATGTAAGTGACTATTTTGACAGCATTTTTAAGAGTTTCTTGAAGCTCAGGTGCCTTGTCTTTAGCTGCTAATGCCTCCCTGTGCAGGAAACAATAGTTCCATGTTGCATTGGATGCTTTCAAAGGGATACTTTGAGCAACTACTGAATGTTTCTCTCTTATCATATGTGACACCAACACACTTTGACCAGCTTAATCCCACCAACTCCAAGTAATTATCCAGTGCAAGAAACATATCAGCAGTAGTAATAGCAATAGGCAAATCCGCACTAAATAAGTACTGTTCTTGCAAATCACTTTTCTGTGCATGCCTCACATAAACCAGCAATATAGTGTGGTTTGATACATCAGTAGATTCATCTAGTTGTAAAGCAAAACAGTCGCTTACTGAAAGATGATCAGTTGTTTGCAGTTTGGTGTGTTCTGAGCTATATCACAGATTCTTCTCCATATTGTATTGTTGGAGAAAGAGATTGCTTTTAATTTTTTTGCCACTGACTCGCCCAACAATTTAGTGCATGTGTCAATAGCAGAAGGTAAAATTAACTCCTCAGCGACAGTGTGAGCTTTTTTGCAATGCGGTGTGCAACAAGGGTAAGAGGCATGCAGTGTTTGCTCACGGACAGTAAATACATGTTCAGATGCTTTTTTTGACATTTCCAAATCTGCTTTTTTGTTTGAAAAAATGAAGAGGCTTGTCTTTATAGCTAGAGTGCTTTGTCTCCAAATGTCTACATAAATTTGATGGTTTTAGGCTTTAATTTGCTAACAGTTCACTGCAGATGACACACAGTGGCCTGTATTCACCATTTCGGTCCTCAGTAAATGAAAACCCAAACTTTAAGTAAGCAGGGTTGTACCTACGATTACTTTTCTTCCCAGGTTTTGATGAATTCCTACTATCATTGGTACTTGCAGTTGCAACAGCACAGTTCAAAAAATTTATCCATTTCACTAACTAAAGACCCATTTTGTGATTAAAACACACTCTTCACTTGAAACTCTACACAGCACTCTTTTCCCATAACTCTTCCCGCCTTGCATTCGATTGGCTAATCGGTAAGGCTAGGTCACGGAGGTCACTGATTCCGTGATTTTATGTGACTTCCATGACTTCAGCCTTTGGTGGTGGGGCTCAGGGCTGGGGTGGCTGTGAACCTTTTGTACATTCATGCGACCCACTTTTAGGTAGTGACCTGTGGGTTGAGAAACTGATCTAGACACCAAATACCACACAACATGGATAATAAAAATAGTGAGTTGGAAATTACTGCAGTCACGGACAAAGCACAATGTACACATAAAGTTGGTACTATATAAATTCCTAAAGTAAATAGATGTCTGATCATTCTAATGTAGGCTCTTGAAATAACCTGTTCCACCTTCTGGTTATCAGGGGGAGTTGATCAGTTATCTTGCTTTTCTAGTATTAAGTGTTTCATGTGAAAGGGTAAGTGGATCTGCTAGTGTTAGAAAGCATTCTGTTTCAGAGTTGTGATACATAGCTTTATTTTCAATGCACCTGCCTTGTTGACACACTCTGGAAGACACATAGTATAACAGAAGCATAATAAGCAGTCAATAAAAATGAAATAAACCACTGTCTTCTTTAAATGAAAACCAATTCTGAGGTTCCTATTAAAAAAAAGAAAAAGAAAAAAGGTTTGGGAGTGATGACATGGGCAAAGAATAATATGGGCTCGCTAGAGGTCATCTTAAATACTCATTGAAATTAAAAGATGACAAGTGCAATGTAAAATATAGACTGCTTGCTCATTTTAGTGACAAAAGTAAGTCTTGACTGCTTTTTACCCTCGTTAGCCCTGCAGAGATACTACTTTTCTTGTCACCAATAGAATTGTGAGATACTAAAAATTATGGACTGAATAGAGACACTGGATTTATGGCTTATTACAGCCATCTATAACCCACTAATAGCCCCTCTTCTCAGCTGCTTTCCCTGCCTTTTCCTCCCTCTGACTGGAAAGATGTTAACCTTTGCCTTGAATAGTCCCTTGAAATATGTGTTAACTTCTTTTGCTAAACAATCTGTTTAGCAGTAACACTTTGAGGTTAAGGTTTTGTCTAACACTGCACTTTCGTTCAGAGGTGTGAAAAACACACACACACACACCCCGAATGACAAAAGTGTTACTGACGAAAAGTGCTCTCTCCTTCCTCTTGTTGGGAGTGGATTTATTTTGTCGGCAGGAAAGCTCTCTCCTGCCGACATAGAGCGGCTACACTTCGCACCTTTTAGTGGTCTGGCTGTAGCGGCACAGCTGTGTCACTAGAAGGCACGTGGTATAGACATAGCCTTAGGCTACGCTATAGAGTTAGGTCAACAGACGGCAGCTTAAGTTAAAGTAACTATAGAAATGTCTACACTTCAGTTTCGCTCCTGTCATAGAATCATAGAATATCAGGGTTGGAAGGGACCTCAGGAGGTCATCTAGTCCAACCCCCTGCTCAAAGCAGGACCAATCCCCAATTAAATCATCCCAGCCAGGGCTTTGTCAAGCCTGACCTTAAAAACTTCTAAGGAAGGAGATTCCACCACCTCCCTAGCTAACGCATTCCAGTGTTTCACCACCCTCCTAGTGAAAAAGTTTTTCCTAATATCCAACCTAAACCTGCCCCACTGCAACTGGAGACCATTACTCCTTGTTCTGTCATCTTCTAGAACTGAGAATAGTCTAGAACCATCCTCTTTGGAACCACCTCTCAGGTAGTTGAAAGCAGCTATCAAATCCCCCCTCATTCTTCTCTTCTGCAGACTAAACAATCCCAGTTCCCTCAGCCTCTCCTCATAAACCATGTGTTCCAGACCCCTAATCATTTTGTTGCCCTTCGCTGGACTCTCTCCAATTTTTCCACATCCTTCTTGTAGTGTGGGGCCCAAAACTGGACACAGTACTCCAGATGAGGCCTCACCAATGTCGAATAGAGGGGAATGATCACGTCCCTCGATCTGCTGGCTATGCCCCTACTTATACATCCCAAAATGCCATTGGCCTTCTTGGCAACAAGGGCACACTCTTGACTCATATCCAGCTTCTCGTCCACTGTCACCCCTAGGTCCTTTTCCGCAGAACTGCTGCCTAGCCATTCGGTCCCTAGTTTGTAGTGGTGCATTGGATTCTTCCGTCCTAAGTGCAGGATCCTGCACTTATCCTTGTTGAACCTCATCAGATTTCTTTTGGCCCAATCCTCCAATTTTTCTAGGTCCCTCTGTATCCTATCCCTACCTGCCACCGTATCTACCACTCCTCCTAGTTTAGTATCATCCGCAAATTTGCTGAGAGTGCAATCCACACCATCCTCCAGATCATTTATGAAGATATTGAACAAAACCGGCCTCAGGACCGACCCTTGGGGCACTCCACTTGATACCGGCTGCCATCTAGACATGGAGCCATTGATCACTACCCGTTGAGCCCGACAATCTAGCCAACTTTCTACCCACCTTATAGTGCATTCATCCAGCCCATACTTCTTTAACTTGCTGACAAGAATACTGTGGGAGACCGCGTCAAAAGCTTTGCTAAAGTCAAGAAACAATACATCCACTGCTTTCCCTTCATCCACAGAACCAGTAATCTCATCATAGAAGAAGATTAGATTAGTCAGGCATGACCTTCCCTTGGTGAATCCATGCTGATTGTTCCTGATCACTTTCCTCTCGTGTAAGTGCTTCAGGATTGATTCCTTGAGGACCTGCTCCATGATTTTTCCGGGGACTGAGGTGAGGCTGACTGGCCTGTAGTTCCCAGGATCCTCCTCCTTCCCTTTTTTAAAGATGGGCACTACATTAGCCTTTTTCCAGTCGTCCGGGACTTCCCCCGATTGCCATGAGTTTTCAAAGATAATGGCCAATGACTCTGCAATCACAGCCGCCAACTCCTTTAGCACTCTCAGATGCAACGCATCCAGCCCCATGGACTTGTGCACGTCCAGCGTTTCTAAATAGTCCCGAACCACTTCTTTCTTCACAGAGGGCTGGCCACCTACTCCCCATGCTGTGTTGCCCAGCGCAGCAGTCTGGGAGCTGACCTTGTTTGTGAAGACAGAGGCAAAAAAAGCCTTGAGTACATTAGCTTTTTCCACATCCTCTGTCACTAGGTTGCCTCCCTCATTCAGTAAGGGGCCCACACTTTCTTTGGCTTTCTTCTTGTTGCCAACATACCTGAAGAAACCCTTCTTGTTACTCTTAACATCTCTTGCTAGCTGCAGCTCCAGGTGCGATTTGGCCCTCCTGATTTCATTCCTACATGCCCGAGCAACATTTTTATACTCTTCCCTGGTCATTTGTCCAATCTTCCACTTCTTGTAAGCTTCTTTTTTATGTTTAAGATCTGCAAGGATTTCACTGTTAAGCCAAGCTGGTCGCCTGCCATATTTACTGTTCTTTTGACACATCGGGATGGTTTGTCCCTGTAACCTCAATAGGGATTCTTTGAAATACAGCCAGCTCTCCTGGACTCCTTTCCCCCTCATGTTATTCCCCCAGGGGATCCTACCCATCAGTTCCCTGAGGGAGTTGAAGTCTGCTTTCCTGAAGTCCAGGGTCCGTATTCTGCTGCTTACCTTTCTTCCCTGTGTCAGGATCCTGAACTCGACCAACTCATGGTCACTGCCTCCCAGATTCCCATCCACTTTTGCTTCCCCTACTAATTCTTCCCAGTTTGTGAGCAGCGGGTCAAGAAAAGCTCTCCCCCTAGTTGGCTCCTCCAGCACTTGCACCAGGAAATTGTCCCCTACATTTTCCAAAAACTTCCTGGATTGTCACTGTAACTGTACCTGCCCTGCTACGCTGACTTAACTCCACCTCCAGAGTGGCGTAGAGTCAAGGTCAATGTAGTTAGGTCGAAGCAGTGTCAGTGTAGACACTGTTTGCATATGTTGACTGTTCCTGGCTTTCAGGAGCCATCCCACAGTGTCCCACACTGACAGTACAATTGATACAAGCACGCCTCATGAGGAGGCACGCTGCTGACACAAGGAGCAAAGTATAGATATGCACAAGCAGTGTAATTATTATGGCAGCTGTATGCCAACGTAAGCTAGGTCAATTTAATTTTGTAGTGTACAGGTGGCCTGAGTTAATTTCCCAGACCTGAAGAAAAGCTCTGTTTAAGCTTGAAAACTTCTCTCTCACCAACAGAAGCTGGTCCAATAAACAATAATACCTCATCCACCTTGTCTCCTAAATTCCAGTCAGTTAGAATTGTGCAAACCCATTGAGGACATTGGGATTCCTGAGATGTCATTGTAATTTTGACTTAAAGAGCCTTTTATTACAGGGGTGATATGCAGTAAGCTTGCTGTTTGCCCCTCAGAGCCCTAATTGAACTATGGGGCAACAAGAAACACGAACACTGCAATAGTATTTGTACGGTTGCTTTTCAGAGCGAGGCCACCCATTGAGGTTTGTTCTTGTTACCAGGGGAGTAATTTATTGATGTATTATGTTCAAATAAAATTTGGTGAGCCAACTAAAACTTGTTACTTAGGTATTTAAAGTCACTTGTGTGGTATTTTAATGACATCAGATACCATGTTTACTTAATGTGTTTTATTTCACTTTTTTAGATTAAATGATGCACCAATTCAGGGCTACACAGATCATGTTGGTAACAAAACTACCATAAGGATGACCTATCCAGAGGGAGCCCCACTTTCTGAAAATGAATATAACCCTCAGAGCTTGTTTGTTGTTGTCTTATTTAAAAGTGTCGATTTCAATTGGCTTCAAGCAATGGTAAAAAATGAAGCATTGGTAGGTATAAACAGTTGACTTATCACATGCATATCTTGGTTTTCTGATGCACAGAAAACGGACTTTCCAGTCCAGTCACTATTTTACTGTATTGAATTCTTCGCTAGCAGTCAGGGTGGATTGTTTTAAATCAGCAAGCAGGAAACTTTGGTTTAAATATTCAGTTTTAATCCTGTTTTGCATTTGTACTTCTGAATGATTTTTCGAAAGAAAGGTTGATTCTCATTGGTTGGTACAACGTGGTACTACTTTTCGCTAACCAGGAGGGTACACAATATTTAATGGCACAGAGTACACTTATAAAGTTTGCGGATGATACCAAACTGGGAGGGTTGCGAGTGCTTTGGAGGATAGGATTAAAATTCAAAATGATCTGGACAAACTGGAGAAATGGTCAGAGGTAAATAGGATGAAATTCAATAAGGACAAATGCAAAGTACTCCACTTAAGAAGGAACAATCAGTTGCACACATACAAAATGGAAAATGATGGCCTAGGAAGGAGTATTGCAGAAAGGGATTGGGGGATCATAATAGATCACAAGCTAAATATGAGTCCACAGTGGAACACTGTTGCAAAAAAAGCAATAATTCTGGGATGTATTAGCAGGCATGTTGTAAGCAAGATACGAGAAATAATTCTTCCCCTCTACTCCACGCTGAGCTGAGTAGGTCTCAACTGGAGTATTGTGTCCAGTTCTGGGCATCACATTTCAGGAAGGAAGTGGACAAATTGGAGAAAGTCTAGAGGAGAGCAACAAAACTGATTAAAGGTCTAGAAAACATGACCTGTGAGGGAAGATTGAAGAAATGGAGTTTGTTTAGTCTGGAAAATAGAAGACTGAGGGGGGGATATGATAACAGTTTTCAAGTATGTAAAAGGATGTTATAAGGAGGAGGATGAAAAATTGTACTCCTTAACCTCTGAGGATAGGACAAGAAGCAATGGGCTTAAATTGCAGCAAGGGTAGTTTAGTTCGGACATTAGGAAAACCTTCCAAACTGTTGGTGGTTAAACACTGGAATAAATTGCCCAGGGAAGTTGTGGAATCTCCATCATTGGAGATTTTTAAGAGCAGGTTAGACAAACACCTATCAAGGATGGGCTAGACAATACTTAGTTCTGCCATGAGTGCAGGGGATTGGACTAGATGACCTCTCGAGATCCTTTCCAGTCCTATGTTTCTGAGACTTACATGCATTTAAGCAGTATGTGGCTTAACATAGATTTAGTCAGATTCTTAATTTTTATATTTTTGTTAGAAAATGCTGAATGACACATTTATATACTAGGTTGATTTTTATTTTTTTTAGCAGTGACTTATCTAGCTGCATTACATAGGAGATAGTATAGCTTAGTGGCTAGAGAACTGAACTGGGACTTAGGAGATGTGGGTTTAATTCCTGGCTCTTCCACTGGCCTGTTTGCCCTTGGGCAGGTCACTTCTCCATGTCCCTTAATTTTCTCATTTATAAAATAGGGATAGTGATACTGTGACCTTTTTTGTAAAGTGTTTTGAGATATAAAAGATGAGAAGTGCTATATAAGGACTAAGTAATTGTCATATTATTATTGGTATTATTTGGATGGAAATTGGAATCTAATTAAAAATGCACAAAAAATAACATTTTAAAATTGTTTTTTGTTAAAACTACCTTAAATATGCTGGATACATAAGAAAAAAAGTATATCAACATTTTTTGTATTTAAAACCAATTGATTTATTAAACAATGACAGCATTATCTGTAGTTAATTGAAGTGATTTCTTTCTGGTTATCATGTCCATCAAGATTTTATAATGGTAGATCTCGTCCTGTCCCCTCGTGTTTATTGATAGATTAAAAGAGTGAAACAAGTTTTCTACTTTTTAAGATTCCAGCTGGTTTCACAACTTTGAATGAATTAATCATTGTACTGAACTACTTGAATAAACTGAAATGAAGAAAATATTTTCTTTGCAGCTGCAGAAGGGGCTAGGTCTGTCAAAAGCTGGGTAACACTTCAACAAACCCTGGTTCTAGGTGCATAGCCGATGACTTCAATTAGTTCAGTAGTTTAGCTTTTCTGGCAGCAAACATATTCTGTTTGAATATTATTTTGATATTTAAATTGTAATATATTTTAATTTAGGCCTTAACGTAGCATAATTTCAAATTTAATTTTAAATATATCTTTTTAAAAAAAGTTGAATTAAAATCAAATTTTGTGTGGTTTTTTTTTTATCCACCTTGCAAGCAATCTATTTGTTGCAGTACTTCTAGTTATTGTTCATGATGTAATACTACTAGATGTAATACTGTATGCTCACACTGGTGCCTTTCATCCAAGTATCTTGATCCTTTACACACAGTAAACATCAAAATGCCTTATGTGCTCAGTAAATTCATTTTGAATTTGGGTTAAGTGACTTGGTTAAGGTTGCAGAGCCAGGAACAGAAACCAGATGTTCGGACTGCCAGTCCCCTTCCTTACTCGCTAAACCACATCATGCTCATTTAGGGGTGTTTGTGTTATGTGTAATAGATGTAAGGTATTAGTGGTGTTGGTTACTGCCCTTCTGATTCTGTATGAAGATTCTGTATGAAGATTCATTCGTTGCTTAATGGATGTTTAAAGAAATAGATCTATATGCAAGAGACACCTGAAGTATTGTATTTTATTGATTAGAGTGTTTATGCAAACATGAAATGCCATAAATTATTCATTAGCAATATATTTGGTAGAAAATCTGTCAAGATATTTAGCAGTTTGTGCACATAATATTATAGATAATGCAAAGGAAGGTTAAATTCTATGGTTTTGCAACCTGGACGGGTTTATGGAATGCTTTTAGACTTGCAGAATTGACCAATTACTTTGCACATGCATTTAGGTAGAACATACTGTTTTATTACAGTGCTCAGCACTGTATGTTCTGCTTTTTAAAAAAAATGCTTTAAATATAATACAAGTGATATTAATGAAGAAATTATCCTTAAATTATCGTTTGAATTTAAATAATGGTAATAACTCTAACAATCAATAATCATTCAGTGTGATAATAGGCAAACGTATTACATTTGTGGAACTTTGAGGAACTATCACTGTGTGATCCATTGGGCCCAAGCAATGTGTAATTTTATAGAACACCAGCACACCTTTCAAAAAAAATGGCACAATTTCACATAGCAGCATTATGTTAACAACTATCGAATGCACCCTCTGATCTGAACTGGATATCTGACTGACTTTGGTGGCTCTAATGTCATTTTATGTGCTTAAAGCTGCATATAGTATATTCTAATAATGAAAAGTCCCTGTATTTTTGTAATATCAGAAGAGTAGTCACATTACAACAATAGATATAACAAATGTTTTTCATAGGGATTTGTTGGGAAAGAATGTGCCAATGTACAGAAAAGGTACCCTCTTCTTGAATTACTTTTCTCATTTGCTCACCATGACACAATTTATGGAGAGAAACATAAAATGAGCCTGATTCTGATCTTTCACCAGTTTAGCACCAGTGCATCTCTATTGACTTCTTTAGCATTCTGACGTATTCTGGCATGAGATCAGCATCGGGCATGCTAAGTCTCATTGCTCTTCTCTCCTTTCATTCTACTACACTTGTCTTTAAATGTACACTGTCTGCTAGAAATACAGTTAATTTGAAAATGTGAGTAAAATAGTTTCAGGTAGGGTGACCAGATGTCCTGATTTTATAGGGACAGTCCTGATTTTTGGGTCTTTTTCTTTTATAGGCTCCTATTACCCCCCACCCCGTCCCGATTTTTCACACTTGCTGTCTGGTCACCCTGGTTTCATGTCCTACACCTGTTTGCAAGTCACTCAGCCAACTGTTGTGGAATTTTGTTCATGTTTTTCCTCTCTTTTCAAATGCTTTCTCTAGCGTGTTGCTGTCGGAAAGCCCAAATAGAGGCAATAGGGATGGGTGAGTGACTGTCCTCGGAAATGCAGTCACACGTTCAAAGTAAATGACCTAAACAGATAAAGAATTGCTCGCGCTCGCGCTCTCTCTCTCTCTCAACTTAAGTATTATTTGTTTAAAAGAATTCAGGCATTTGGGAATTATACATCAATGTCCTAGTAAATTTTTTCATAAATCATTTGTGATGAGATGTGGACAATCTCATGTTTTAATAGTATGGAGTTACATGCTATGCCCCAGTACCAATTTGTCATGTCAAAGTATTTGTTTCCCTAGTTTTAACTGATTTTTTTTTTCCTCTTTAGCCACTATGGGTGCGACTATTTTTTTGGAAGCAGGTGGCTGAGAAAATTCCTGTAACACCAAAACAGTTTCGCATTTTAAATCCGATCATCGTTAAAGAGACTGCCTTGGATATACTACAGTACCCTGAGCCTCGATCTAAATTTTGGGGCTGGGATAAGGTAAGATACCTTTTTTGGGGGGGAGGTGCTGTATAGATACATTTAGCTTCTTAGAAATCTAATATGACAAGATCAAATAAAAAAGAGTTTGGCCTTGTAGTCTCTTTGTGCAATTTCTCAGTCATTGTAAAACATCGAAGTCTTCTCTTCTCAAACACTATTTGTATTTTCTTTAACATTCTCTGTTAAATATTTGTAGAGTAGTGGGGTTCAGCATTCTCGTTAATTATAGAAAAAGTAAAAATCTAGTTTTAAAGTTGGGGTTAGGCTTGTTTATGTTCACGTAAGGTGACCTGCTTGTGATTTTTTTTTTTTTAATAAATACCCCAAAGTTTTAAAAAGAAAGTACTTCTGTGAAATGCATTAAGGATGCAGGTCTTCTCAATACCATGTACAGTGGTAGGCCATGCACTGCATTTAAGCATTCAGATCTTAAGGCTTTTTGAATCATTTGTGTGTCCCTTTTTTGCTGAGGAGGATTTTGCCTACGAATATGTTTACACTACACTGTAAAAATAGGTGAGTTCTTCACTTGGGGTAGCTCACTTGGGTGAAAATAGCAGTTATTACAGCAATCAGTATGTAAGCACCTGGAGGATAGTAGGGTAATAAGAATGGATTTATCAAGAATACATCATGCCAAACCCTAATCTAATATCCTTCCTTTGCAGGATAACTTGCTTTGTGGATGTGGGGGAAGTTGTAGATGTGAGATGCCTTGATTTTTATCAAGGCTTTTGACACATGACATTCTCATAAGCAAACTAGGAAAATGTGGGCTAGATGAAATTACTATAGGATGGGAGCACAGCTCGTTGAAAGACTGTCCTCAGAGTAGCTATCAATGGTCAGCTATAAAGCTGGAGTGGGAGCTATAGAACATAAGAATGGCCATACTGGGTCAGACCAAAGGTCCATCTAGCCCAGTATCCTGTTTTCCGACAGTGGCAAATGCCAGGTACCCCAGAGGGAACGAACAGAACAGGTTATCATCAAGTGATCCATCCCCTGTTGCCCATTCCCAGCTTCTGGCAAACAGAAGCTAGGGACACCATTCCTGCCTATCCTGGCTAATAGCCATTGATGGACCCTATCCTCCATGAATTTATCTAGTTCTTTTTTGAACCCTGTTATAGTCTTGGCCTTCACAACATCCTCTGGCAAAGAGTTCGACAGGTGGACTGTGCGTTGTGTGAAGAAATACCTCCTTTTTTTTTGTTTTAAACCTGCTGCCTATTAATTTCATTTGGTAACCCCTACTTCATAGACTCATAGAATATCAGGGTTGGAAGGGACCGCAGCTGTGGATTCATGCTTCATTCATTAACTTCTGTTTCCTTTCATTGTTGATGCAGACAGGACCTAGTACTGTTCAATATTTTCACTGATGACTTGGATAATGGGGTGAAGAATGTGCTTCTAAAATTTGTGGGTGACACCAAGATGGGAAGAGGTTACTACACTTCAGAGGACAGGATTAGAATTCAGAAAGACCTTGACAAATTGGAAAAGTGGTCTAAGATCAATAAGATGAGATTCAATAAGACAAGTGCAAATTACTACTCCTAGGATGCAAAAAAAAAATAAAAATCTAATGCACAACTACAAAATGGGGAATAACTGGGTAGGTGGTAGAACTGCATAAAAAGATCTGAGGATTATCGTACAGTAGTTCTCAAATTGAGTATGACTCAACAGTCTGCAAATGTGATGCAGTGCTAAAAAGGCTAATATCGTTCTGGGATGTCTTATATATGGATTGTAGTATGTCAGGTAATTGTCCCACTCTATTTAGCATTGGTGAGTACTCAACTCGAGTACTATGTTCAGTTCTGGTCACCGCACTGTAAGAAAGAGGTGGACAAATGGGTGAGAGTTCAGAATGGAGCAACAAAAATGATACAAAGTTTGGAAAATCTGATCTATGAGGAAAGGTTAAAAAGGGGAGGGGGGGCATATATAGTCTTGAGAAAAGAAGTCTTCAAACATGTTGTAAAGAGCTGTTTTAAAGAGGACCGTGATCTGTTGTTTTCCATGTCCATACAAAAAGTAGTTGACTTAAGCGGCAGCAAGGAAGATTTAGGTTAGATGTTAAAAAAAAATTTCTAACTATAAGGATAAATAAGTAGTGGAAGAGGCTTCCAAGGATGGTTTTGGTATCCCTGTCATTGGAGGTTTTTAAGAATAGGTTAGACAAACACAGCAGGGATGGTCTAGCTATACTTGGTCTTGCCTCAGTGCAGGGTGGTGGTCTACGTGACCTCTAGAGGTCTCTTCCACCCCTAGTTTCTAAGACTCTGTGAAAACTGATCAAGGAGAGAGATGTTGTATTGTAAATGTTTATTTTTCTTTTTAGAATGTTCCCACTATTGGGGTCACTGCAGTTGTTCTGGCCACACATTTATGTGATGAAGTGAGTTTAGCAGGATTTGGATATGACCTCCATCAACCCAACACACCTTTGCACTACTATGACAATCTCTGCATGGCTGCAATGGAAGGACAAACTATGCATAATGTGACAACTGAAACAAAATTCCTACAAAAACTGATCAAAGAAGGGATTGTGAAAGACCTCAGTGGAGGAATAGAGTGTGAATTCTGCAAAAAACCAAGCTAATGACTGGAACTGAGAGCACAGACTGGATTAGAGGTTCCTGCAGCCTTGCTAGCAATGACCCTTTCAGTGCTCTCATCCCACAAAGACTTGGAAGAATCTCTGTTCTTTGTATTTCTGTTGCTTTTTAATGTCAAGTTGAATTCGTTGTATTTTTTAATTTATTTTGAGTCCAGGTTTTTACCTTGCACACTTTTGTGGGTAATTATCAATACAGTTTTGAGTTTAGAGAGATTCATTTAAAATATGTCATGTTTTAAGCTGTCTGAAGGAAAACAGAAAATTTAAGGGTTTTATATGTGAAGGGCACTCACGAACCTAGGTGTGTTTTGCCTAATCTGGGGAGAGGAGAATTGTTCCCACTGAAGTGATGTTGCCTTTGTGGGTCCATTTGTCAGTAAATGAATCTTCTGTGCATACAAAGAAAAGAAAAGGTGTGTGTTTTCTAAGTGAATTTGCTTTGTTGCTTGCAGGTTCACTATTCTTTGTGGTAGATCATCCACTTGTGTAACCTTCAACAAATATTTAAACTAGTCCCTTTCTGTGCTGATACTTATTTTGGGGGTGGGGTGGGCAGGGAGCAGGAAAGGGCAAAACTGATGTGGCAGTGGAGCTGAACAGTAAGTTCATTCATGCCACATCTAGTCATGCCTGGTATTTAAATCATTGACGGATGTGAGTGCTTTAGGATTAGAATGCTGGCTAGTTAACCACTTGACACATTTGGATCTGACCATGTTATAACCAGATTTAGGCTACAGTAGATATCTACCTGAGCCTAAACTCTTCTCTTTCCCATTCCTGGCTCCCAAACACCTGGTCATAATATGGTTGGGTCACAAAATTTAAACATCACTGTTACAGGAACAGCATCAACACGAATTCCAGTCCTTTTTGGGGAGGGAGGTAAAAAGTAGTGTTTGGGGGTACACCTGCCCTTTTGCTATTTTATAAAAATGTTTTTACTCCTTGCTGCTGTGTGAAAAACCCACAAAGGAAATGGAAACTTACTGTATAGTAGTCAGTGAAACTGACTACAAACAAATTGAAAGAATGGAAGTATTTGGTTTAATCTCCTTAGTGGTACAATAGGTATTAACTTGCAACAGTATTATGTAAAATAAAAATTCAGACTCAAATATAGTTTAAGTTGATAGTGGCCCTTTTATGGTGTGAATATGGTGTATGCTTCTTAATTGGGAGGGAAAGAGTGGAATTGTTTGCTTTGCAGACCACCAAATAAACTGGCAATTCTGTGTGCACAAATAACTTACGAAGAAGAAATTGCCTTCGAGGAAGTAGTATGATCTACTAGCACTGTACAATGTCTGCTAAGTGCAGATTGCTTTTAGAAATTTCTGTATAAATGTACTTTCTAATGATCGGAAATCAATGTAATTGAAAGAAAGCAGGACTGCATTTTTGTGAGCAAGTCTAAACTGTTTTGCAAATAACAGTTGTGGTTATTGGACTGCTTGCTTTTGAGTGCTGTCTGTTACTCAGAGCGAGTGAAAAATATTTTATTTGAACATGAAATCTTATCAGAAAGTTAATAGAAGTGAACAGGTGAAACATAATTATATGAATTACAGGAATCACTTTTGACTTTCCAGGTGATAAACCTTCCTATTAGTTCCTTATCATATGGTAAGATACACTAGGCATATTTTTAAAATTAGCATCAGGTTAAATTGCATCAAGAAAATAGGATGTGGGAATGGAATATAGTATTCATACTTGCCGTGAAGAGTAGGTCTAATGGATGATCGTGTATGAACGCAGAAGTTGCACTGGCTATGGTTGTAGAGAGACAATAACACAATGCCAGTTTACAAAGTGTAACACAAGATAGTGGCTATGAGCCTCATCTTTCCTAAGCACCCACATATCCCCTAAAGTGAATGATTAGAAATCACACTCTGTGTGTTCAGGGCTCCATTTGTGCAACAGCAATAATATTAACCTAACTTCCTCCTTGTAACAAACTAATTTTTGTAACAGCAATAAATTTCTAGTCCATGTTTTGTATGCTTTTAAGTATAGATAAAACTGTTTACTTGAAAATTACTGATATGTAAAGAGTTTTTACAGATAGTGTTTTGTTTAATATAACAGGTTGATTATTATCCCCTTATAGTTAAGATGAAAGCAAGCTACCTTAACTCCATTCAATATTACTGAAATATGAAAGGGTTTGGGAAAGTTCAAAATGTGCATATGGACAGTAATACACTGAAGTCTTTCAAAGTGCTGTTACCCAAAAGTTTTGTTGTACATTAACTGTTAGTTCACCAGGACTTCACACTGTTATGACTTAAGAATTTGAAAATGTGAACTTAATAGAATGAAAGTATTATTAAAGCAATCAATAGTGTCCTTTGAGGTTTTCCATTTATCATCAGCTCTACAGATGCTTTAATGTGGGCTTAAACTGTAGTCCAGCCAACTTTGTCAGCTGTGATCAAACTTTTTTCTCTGTAGTAGTAAGTATTATGTAGAATACTCCTATGTGGACTTGACCATTCCTGAAACAGCAATGGAATTCAGGCTGTGAAAAGCAATAAACAGATGGAACCACTTTCTATTTATGTAGTTTCACAGGTCACAACATAGTCTGTCTTTTTCATTAAGAATTATATATAGCTAGGGAGTTCACTGATCCAGTTTAATAGTCGACATGAGATCGCAGGCAATCTAGAAAGAGGAGACCTTATGGAATAGTGCCTCATTTCTTTTCACTTACGCCTGATTAAGATTAATTTCATGAGAGTTATTCTTGGATCTCCCTGATGTACGTGAGAATTGGTCCCCTACTCAGAGCCAATGTGCTCTCCAGCTTCTTGAGGCTAATGTAGATGAGAATATATTTGTCTTCATTGGAGCACTGTCCTTAGTGTTCTAAATGTGTTTACATGTGTTTCACGTGTATTGAAATTTAAAGAATTTGTGAGTGAAGATAAAGTAAACTCACATTAGAATTTACCTTTTATAATAGCATTATAGGTGGGAGGAGGCACAGATGCATATTCAGAATCAGTGCAGTCTGTATGCTTTTTTCATTGTAACTGGATATGTCTTTACTTTGGTGTCTAGAACTTTGTTAATTTTTCAACTTTGAATGGTGGTGGGTTGTTACCTTGCAGCATCTGTCATCTGAAAAAGGCAAAACATGATATACATGATGATCTGTTCAATCTTAAAGTATTTAGACCCGTAATCTACTCTAAACTACTTTTTTAAAGAGGGCACTAGCTTGTCCATTTAAAAAAATATTTTATTAAAAAAATCTTTAATTCTAAGTTTAGTTCATATTTGGGGGGTTATTTAGCAGATAGCAAAAGAGACAAACCTAGGAGCAGCTCAATTATTTTGGCTTGCAAGAGGTTGCTCATTCCAATTTGCTTTCACAGGTTTTCACAATTTTGTGTATGCAGAGTATGGATCTCATTGCTGTGTGTATGTACAGGAATCCTGCATGTAACCTGATTGGCTTGCCTCCAGATGAAAGCAATGTCAGCTTGGGATTTTTGTATGGTAGTGCAATTTATGAGTAGTTTGTACAGTGCTATGAACATGTAAAATGCTAATGTATGTAAAATACAGGCAAATGGAGTAGTGTAAATACAGAGTGAGAATACTCTACAAAGCATTTAGTCTCCATGAAAGATCTGTAACCCAATGGTATTCAAATGGGATTGTGACCCACTCTTGAGGTACTTGGAGATGTATATAGACTGAATGTAGACCAACCTCATCTGCCAGTGGGTGCCGGGTGGTAACTTAGACTTTAGTGCGACAGCCTGCTCTTGAATAAGAGGTAACCAACTGACATAGAAAGGAGAGACCTGCACAGAAAAGAAGCATGAGGTGGCTTTTGTCACCAGGCCTTGTGTCTTTCAGCCAGGTGAGGCAGGGAGGTTGCTTGAAACCTATGCTTCTTTCAGAGGTGACAACAGAGACCACACAGAGGTGGTCGGTAGCATCCTTTCTCTTTCCCACCAGCAGCAGGGATTTTTGCATACACCTCTGGTTCCATAAGCAGTGGGATCTCTTCCTAAAGGCTGACTTTCCAGAACCTTACCCTTTTGCTCTCCTTTTACCAGAGAGTGACTCTCACTATCTTGGAGAGCATAAGCCTTGTTTTCTATGTAACTAAGGCTGTGCCTACGCAATGAAGTTTGATTGGCACAAGTAACATCTGTGAACAGCCGCCAGGGTTCGTATGTGCACACTTGGCTGTTGGCTGTGCATACGTACCGGGAGTGTTTGTGTTGATGTAAAGTTAGGAGCAACACAGGTAGCCCAGCATGCCTCATGCCACTGTCTGGCAAAATACCTTTTGTGATATTTTTGAGTGCTTTGTGGAATAGCCGTGATTTGTCTCAGGATTTCTTAAAGATAGGGGTCAAGTTCACACCATACCACTTTCTTCATCCCATAATACTTTCCACATCTCATAATTTTTGCATTTTTTTTTGAAAACTCCCTCAGTTCCATGCAGTGCTTTGCCATCATTTCTCTGACAGAAGCTTGGACCCTCTTGAGCTCAACAGAATTCTCACGTGCTGACTGAATGCTGATGTGTATATAGTGGTGGTGGGGGAATGCCAGGTTGCTGCTGACATTGATGGAGCAGCACCACACGTAGCCAGACAAGCCAAAGAAGGGAAATTGAGCACTCAGAGAAAGGAAAAGCGAATGCTGACTCTACCTTTGTTTGATTACCTCTGGCTGAGCACAGGACTGTTCTGATGTGGGTTGTGTAACTGGATTGCCATACAACCCTTTTTAGAACTTGTTCCCTAACCTGTTATTTTCTAACACTGTACCGCTAAAGCAAAGAAGAGTCAATACCTTGGTCTTAACTTGCAGGTGGGCCAGGTGCCATTTTTAAATGGGAAACAAAGGTGGCTTCGTGGTGGGGAGGGAGGTGAGGTTTGAGGGAGAGGAAAAGCAAAAAACACATTTCAAGGAATAATGCATGTATGCACTTACCGAAGCTCCCTCACCCTTCACGAGCAGCCTCATCTCTGCTTTTTTAGAAGGGGAGCAATTTTAGCCTATTTCTTTACTGCATTATGTTCCAGATAGAGGATCAAATTCAGCCCTGTTCTAATTTCCTGGACTGTAATGGAGATAAACCCGTGGTATAACAGGTCTGTAGCGTTGATGCATTGTTCCAAAGCCCAGGGCTGTTATGTTTCTTGCAGGCATGCTCAAAAGACATAGGACTGGAAGAGCGCTGCAAGGGTCATCAAGTCCATTGCCCTGCTACCACAGGTAACCCCATTTTATAATTGTGTTCCAGACTTCCACTCCTGATGGCTAAAAACCTAATTTCCAGCCTAAATTTAATAATTGTTACTTTATATCCATTGTGCCAACATTGCCCTTTAGCTTAAATAGCTTTTCTCCCTTGCTGCTGTTTACCTCCGATCTATTTACAGAGCGTACTCATATCCCCTGTTAGCCTATGTTTTTTGCTAGTCTGAACAAGCCAAGTTTTTAGTCTCCACTGATAGATATATTCTCCTTTATCTTGATCTTCCTAGTAGCACTTTCTTTACCTGTTCTGGTGTGAATTCATCATTCTTCAATGTGGGTGACCAGCATTGTAAATAGTATTCCAGATGAGGTCTTACCAGTGCTTTGTACAATGTCAAAGGGGAGAAAATCAAGTGGTCAAGAAAACAAACTTGAAGAAACTCTGGAGAGTTCACACTCTGTGTAACTGGGAAGACCATGGTTTTTCTCGCAGCTGAGACCCAGTCTGAGTGGAGGATGTGCTTCACAACTGCAGGATTTATTGGGAATCAAAAGTGAGTTCAAAGTACCACCTACTACCTGCACTGAATACTGCTGTTAAGAATTTTGTAATGTGGGCAGGGCTAATACCAATATCTCCATATAATGTAACTTGTCATTGTTATTTAAGTAGGGCTGGGGGCAAGAGAGGAAGTGGGCTACAGATCGGCATTGCAAAAACGGAATCAACAAATTCTTTCCTCACTTGCATAAAAGGCATGTGGCTATTACCTGCTGCTTTGGCCACTGTGCCCTGAAAAGTTCTATGAATGAACTGTTTGTACTTGTGCATTGCACTAGGAGACTCAAAGTGGAGAAAATGCAGTGCCAAGACTATGACATTGTTTGGATTCATAGAGTTTAAGACCAGAAGGGACTATTTTGTAATCTTGTCTGATCTTCTGCGTGTTATAGGCCATTAAATTTCAACCAGTCACCCCTGTAACTGAACGCAGTTACTTGTTTGACTAAAGGATATCTTCAGAAAGGCATCCAGTCTTGATGTGCAGACATCGAGATGGAGAATCTACCACTTTCCTTGGCAATTTTGTTCCAATTGCTAATCACGGTAGTTTAGAAATTTGTGCTTAATTTCTTATTTGAATATGTCTGGCTTCAGCGTCCAGCCATTGGTTCTTGTTATGCCTTTTGTCTGGTAGATTAAAGAGCACTTCAGCACCTGGTATTTTCTCTGTGTGAAGGTACCTATATACTGTAATCAAGTCACCTCTGTCTTTTTGATCAACTAAAGAGATTGAGCTTTTTAAGTCTGTCACTGTAAAACATTTTCTCCAGCCCTTGAATAATTTTTGTGGCTCTTTTCTGCACCCTTTCCAATTTTTCAGTATTCTTTTTAAAACAACACCAGAACTTCATGCAGTATTCAAGGATTGGTCTCACTGATAGCATATAAAATCCCCTCCTTATTCCTGCTCGCTACTTCCCTGTTTATACATTGTTTATGCTACAGCATTGCACTGGGAACTCATGTCCAGTTGCTTCTCCATTGTGACCCCCTATATCCTTTTCAGAGTCATGGCTTTCAAGGCTGCAGTTCCCTGTTCTGTAGATAGGTCCTGCATTCCTTGTTCCTAGACGTTTCATTTGCATTTGGCTGAATCAAAACCAACTTTCTTTGAATGGACCAAGCTTACTATGCGATCAAGATTGCTATGCATGACTGCCCTGCCCTCATCATTTACCATTCCAGAAAACTTGGTCATCCCCAAATACTATCAGCGGTGATTTTATATTTACTTCCAGATCATTGATGAAAATGTTTAATAGTGTCAAGCCTAGTATCAATGCATTCAGAACTCCATTAGAAACGTCCTCCTTCAGTGAAGATTCCTCGTTGACAACTACTTTTTGAGATCTATCAGTGAGCCAGCTCTTAATCCATTTAACATGTGCTTTGTAGTTATTGTTTAGTGCCACTTTTTAAATCTGAATGTGGCATGGTACAAAGTCAAAGGCCTGACATAAATCGAAGTATGTTATCTCTGTGCAGGTACCTTAATCAAATTTGTAATCTCATCAGAGTAAAACCAGGTTTGTTTGACAAGGTCTGTTTTCAATAAAATGTTGAATTGACATTAACTGTATTTCTATGCTTTAATTATTTTATCAGTTGAAGCACGTGTATGTGGGTGTGTAGTCTTATATTACTGGTTGGGACTGTCTTTTGTTTGCTCATATTGAATGTTATCAGACCATGTGAAGGCCAAAAAAGTATAACAAGGTCCATCAATGGCTATTAGCCAAGATGGTCAGGGCTTCAAGCCCATGCTCTGGGTATGCCTAAACTTCTGACTGCCAGAAACTGGGACTGAACAAGAAGGGATGGACCACTTGAAAATTGGCCTGTTCTGCCCATTCCGTCTGAAGCATCAGGCACTGGCCACTGTTGGAAGACAGCATATTGAGCTAGATGAACCATTAGTCTGTCCCAGTATGGCCATTCTTATATTCTTTAAATCATTGGTCCCTAGGCAATCAACATCTTCATGTGCAGTGACCAATTCATAAGGTCCAAAATAGTTACATCATCTTGGTTGCAATACCATTTGTGTTAGAAAATTATCTATAATTTTTTAGAAACTTTAATGAACGTGTCCACCATATATGCATATCTCCTCTTTCACTACTATTTCTCCAACACTTATTCCCATTCAATCCATCCATCCATACTAAATATGAGGTGCCACAGAAACAGTATCTTAAAGAAATTTTCTTTTATTGTAGTAGAGATTGAGGTTTCTGGTCCTCTTTTTCCAGATCAAAGTCTATTCCTCTGTAGTAATTTGTCTATCCAAATTCCTTTACACCTGTCACATATGTGTACCACTTTATTAGAAAAGTATCTGCAAAGATTGTTTCCTAATTGACAAGAAGCCATCACTTCGATAAAAGTTAGCTTTCTGAATAAAAAAACTTTCCTAGAAAAGTTGAGAAACCTAGTGCCTAACTTGAAGGTACTGGTACCATGGGAAAGTGGGCCCACTGAAATTAGTTTTGATTTTTAAAATAAGTTAGAAAAGTTTCTTTGGTGAACAGTTGGCCAGCCATATGTATTCCGTGGCTATCCCAGTCTTTAAAAACTCTCTGATTTGTGACTTGGGTATTATTTGTAATGGGTGTCATTGATGAAGGAAAAGAACTAAAGAGCTGCTTTCCCCTGTCCTCCCCCCCAAGTAGTTCTATCCTGTAGCCTTTGCTAAGTGATGTGTGTAAATTTCCAGAGGGCATGTTTTTTAGTAGTCCATGGTAACCTAGTAATTGTGACGATTTGGGGCCCTTTTGGGTGTCACCTGATGTGCTGAGATACCATCGAGTCGGCCTGTTATGCCAGACTGGCTCCTTTTTACCTGGCCTTGCTGGGTTAGGCTCACAAGCCTCTTCCAGTCAAGCACACAGGCAGGGCCACACCCAGCTGCACAGAGAGACAGAGATCCACTCAGGAAAGATTCAGCCTTAAGGGCTTGCCCCAACACTCTGGTGCCCACTCCCTCTAGAGGGGTACAAACCCAAAGGTTTTATGAAATTCGCCCCCTCCCTCAACATGGAGGGAGATATGCACAACTTCTCTTACCGTCCACTTAGAAATTACAGAAACTGGGTTTAATTAATAAACAAAACAAATGGTATTAACTACAAAAGGTTAATTTTAGGTGAATATAAGAGATTCTTGCATCCAGGTCTTTTTCAGTGTCTCTTAGGGTGGGGAGGCTGAAGAGCACCTTGATGATGTCACTCCCCTGCCTTATATAGCTCTTGTGTAAGGCGGGAATGCTTTGTCTCCTCATGGAAAACCACTAGCATTCCAAAAGGGGATGAGGGGTATCCAGGACCAGGTGACTCAGACCCCGGTCTTTGCATGGCTGTGGCAGCCATTGCTCCAGTACCAGGTGACTCAGACCCCGGTCTTTGCATGGCTGTGGCAGCCATTGCTCGTAGGCTGTCTCCAGCAGTCTCAGGAAGACTAAGCTCTTTCACAGTCCATTGTCTCTGCTAATGGCCCATTAGTCCTGTCTGGCTTTTCCATTGTTGTACCTGAAGGGCTGGCTGGGGTTGACACCCAAAGTAACACATTTGAAATACAGACACATAGTTATTTTTCCTAACTTCAGATACAGAAATGATACAGGCATACAAACTGGATAATCACATTGAGTAAATCATAACCTTTCCGAAGATACTTTTACAAGACTCATTTTGCATAAAGTACATCTCAGTTATGTCATATTGATGTCATAAGCATATTTTCATAAAGAATATGGAGTGAAATGTCACAGTAATATTTACATTGCAACAGTTTTCTTGTTCAATAATGACTCAGTATATGGCGAGATTAGAGCACCCCCACTCTGCCGGCCGGCTTGCTAGTACCATATAGTATTTGGAAAAGCTGGACTACCCAGGTTTAATGCACTCTTATTCCATATAAATTTCAACAACATTCTCTGTATTCCTGCTAGAGTTTTATGTGGGATAATTAGAGGAATATTTTAAAACAAAAAAAAATGTCCTTGGTAAAATGTTAATTTGATTGTGGCTGTTCTTCCGTACCAAGAAATTGCATACTTCCCTCAGCACTCCGAATCTTGTTTTGTTTGCTGAAGTAGTGGTTTAATATTTAAATCATACAACTTTTCTAGGTTGTTTTGAGACCTGAATTGGCTGCCCATTAGTAACTAAATGTTTTCTATAAGTATGACTTCTCAGAGTCTGGTAAATGTATAGCTACCATTTTAGTTTTGGCATAATTTATTTTAAAACCAGATGCTTTTGTGAAATAATGGATTTCTTTAGATACTAATTTCAGGGAAATATTCAGATTAGCTAAAAATATTACATAATGTACACATATAAAGCTATTTTTAATGTATTACTGCAACTTTTATTCCTGTGATGCTGTGCTGTGAAGATCATATCCACAGTTCCATGACTTGTTCAGAAACCACTCTGTGACTCCAGTAAAATTTCTTCTGACAGGGATAGAAGGTGGGTTGCAAGGATCCGCACCAGAACTTTGCCTGCAATGGCTAGGAGGGAGATACCACGATAATTTCCACAATCCACTTTATCCCCTTTCTTGGGTGACAATCAGGGCATCCCTCAATTCACTGGGTATCTCCTCCTTTATCCAGCTTTTAAAGATAAGCAGGTAAAGCTGCTGAATTAGCTCTGGTCCACTGTCTTTAAAGATTTCAGTGGGGATCCCATCTAGACCTGCTGCCTTGTTGTTCTTCATCTGCTTGGTGGCATTGTGTACCTCATACAAATTGGAGGGTCTCCGAGCTTGTCCCTAAATTGTTGTTGAGGGATTTGCTCAAGGACTTCATCTGCAACCACAGAATTATGGTTAAGGAGACCTTCAAAATGTTCTTTCCAGCAAGAATTGATAGCTTTGTTGTCCTTCAGAAGTGTAGTTCCGTCCTTAGAGTGAAGAGGATTCATACCATGACAAATTGGCCCATAAATAGCCTTGGTGGCACTAAAGAAACCACATGTATTGTGGATGTCCATGAGATGTTGGAGTTCTTGCACTTTCTCAGTCCACCATTTGTTCTTGAGTTCTCTGGTTTTACGTTGGACTTCTGCCCTCACCTTGGCATGGGCTTCTCTCTTTATATTACAATTTATGTTGTTCTGCCAAGCACGGAATGACATTCTCTTCTCACTGGTGAGTTGCTCCATTTCAGCATCATTCTTGTCAAATCAGTCCTGATGTTTTCTGGTTTGGTAGCCTATAGTTTCCTCACAGGCATTGACAATTACTGCTTTCAACTGGCTCCAGTGTTCCTCAATTTCTTCCAGAAACTCTGATGGGAGCTTTTCTTCTAAGACTGCTTGCCTCATTCCATTGCAGGGAAGATTTCGGCATGTGTCTTGCACAATACACTCTCCACCACCACCAGTAACATTTTCTCAGAGTATCACTACAGATTCCACCCAGGGTGCGGATCCGCGGATATGATTTTTGCTGCTTGTCAAATACAAGCTAAGTGCCGGGAACAAAACTGTGACCTCTGTATGGTGTCTGTAGATCTGACAAAGGCCTTCGACACTGTTAGTCAAGAGGGTCTCTGGTGGATCTTGCACAAAGTTGGGTGCTTGCACAAATTCATCACCGTCATACCCTTATTCCCTGTCAGCAGGCTGGCTACAGTGCTGGGAAATGGTGCTTCATCTTTGTCACAAATGGCCATGAAGCTGTGCTGTATGCTTGCACCTACATCATGTGCCATTCTTTCTGGTGCTATGCTGCGAGATCCTTGAAGACTGTGACCGGAGTGTTTACAAGCAATGCAACATAGATGGCAGCATCTTCAATCTCCGTGCCTGTGTGTGTCACTAAAGTGATTGACTCTCTTGTCAGAGAGTTCCTCTTCACTGATTGTGCAATTGTAGCACATACTCTTGAAGACATGTGGCTCTAATCGACTGCTTTTCCAGATCTGCAAAGCAATTTGGGCTCTCTATCAGCCTCAGGGAAACTGAGGTGCTTTACAAGCCTGCTCCAGGAACAATGTATTCTGCCACCGAAATTGCAGTCAATGAGATGCTGCTTAATGCAGTAGAAAAAGTTTGCTATCCTGGCAGCACTTGATCTAATAATGCCATGATCAATGATGAAATCACACAGCACATTTCTAAAGCCAGTTCTGCTGGGCAACCAAGGTTAATATCAATCATGCAATTGTGTTAAGCACTCTTCTCTATGGTGTGAAACATGGACACTCTGTAATAGGAACTTGAAGCAACTTTCCTAGAGCATTTTCACATGCACTGTCTGCATCTCGTCTGTAACATCCAGTAGTCAGACACGATACCAAACATAAAGTCTTAGACCAGTGCTGCACGACTAAGATTGAATACTAATCATACAGGTGCAACTTCGCTGGGCTAGTCGTCTCGTATGTATGTTTGATACCCTACTCCCCAAGTGGGGGCAACGGAAATGATATAAGGACACTCTCAATACTCATCTAAAAGCTGGCCAAGTCAACCCGAACATATGGGAAATTGCTGCTGCTGGAGGATTAGGATAGCAGCAGACCTGTTGGTCAGCAGTTAAAGCCATCAAGAATAGCAGA